TTATATTTGACCTCGCTCGAACAAACACCTATCGGCCCTCGGCCGCGATTTAACGAAAAGGTTATGTTTGACCTCGCTCGAACAAACATCTACTGGCCCTCGATCGCAACTTAACAAAAAGTCAAAATCGACTAAGTCCAAACAACACATATCGGCCCTCGGCCAGAACTCAATGAAGAAACACACTCGACCTATATAAACAAAGGGCTGATATAACCCACGATTATTTGGCTCCAAGACCACGGCTAGCTGAAACACAACAACAATGAAGACAAAAAGCGAAACAAGCAAACAAAAAAAGCAAAAAATACACAAGTACATAAAAGAACCACGGGAACATAAGAAGATGCGAGAAACGACTTTGATATTTCATACTTTTAATTTTTTTTTACTAAAGGCTCTTGAAGACGCCGGCAAAAATACACAAGTTAAAAGAAAACTACTGGCCATCGTCATTGCGGCCTTTAGTACCCTCTCCATCTCGGTCTCTAACAGCATCACCCCCCTGACCACCGATACCCTCACCGTCTCGGCCCCCAGCGCCCTATCCATTCTCGCCCGAAGGGTATATAGAATCATATCACGCCTCGTCCTCAAGGCGATCTATAGCAATTATCCCCCTCTTCCTCACCAGGACGAGGAGTAGTCGGATCACAATCACAAGCAACCCAAGCCTTGACACGAGGTGCTCGAAGTCCGCAGCAGAAACGGAGCCCGCAACATGCAACTCGTAAAGCAAATCTAGTCGGGCTTCGGCGTGAATCCACTCTTCGTACAAGTGACAAGGAATGTTGGGAAAGCCAGAAGCCGCAGATGAAGAAGGTCGTTCAAGTAGTTTAGCCTTCTCGGCCTATATAGTAGTAACCCGACCATAAATAGCAGAGGTCTCTTTCTCCAACTCCCTAATCCTTTCATCGAGCCGCTCTTCTTTAAGCCTTGTTGTTGACAAGTCATTTTCTCGCTCGGAACGAAGAGTTCGAACCACCACCTCAAGGGTCTCTGTCTTCCTTAAAGCCTCCGACCGGGTGGACTCCACCTTCTCTAGCTCCTCCGTCTTTTCGGCGACCTCGCCACTAAGAGCCTCCGCCGTGAATTGACACTCCTCAAGTTGGCCTCGCAGTGAGACTACCTGAGCTTGGAGATCACTGCACTAGGCTTCTACCCCCTGCTAAGCTCAAGCTCTTTTTCCTTACTACTCAACATCCCCTCAAGGACGCTACATTTCCCAACTACTTGCATCAGATTCTCATCTCTTTCCTTTAAATTCTCCCTCAGTTGGCACACATCGCCGCCTTCACAAAGCCGATACCAGAGATCTCGGTACTTCTCGAGGCATTTGAAGTAATTATCCTTCAATTTCACATAAATATCTTTATGCCTCTGCTCCCTATGAGCACTTTCGATCTCTAGGACAACCGTCTGCAAAACAAACAAAGAGAGTTAGAGCCTACGAAAAGGAGAAACATAAAGAAAATAACGGACAAAAATTGTACTCACCCGAAGGGCAAGACCGGCAATGTTATTTGACATGTCACTATCACTCATAGTGTCGAGGGTCGTACCCTCAATTTCAGAATGAAGAGGGCCGAGGGAGGGGACTATCTCCTCGGTATTCACAAGAAGGTTACGATACATCGGGATCACAATGGTCCTTGAAGCCCCTTCTAACCTCACTTCGAGTTGAGTTAACCCCTCATCGATCATCCTAAACTCGTCTACATCGGAATTAGATCCAACATCCTCCTCAGCAACGGCCTTCCTTCTATCATCAGTCAAAGGCACGCCTGCCGTAACCCCTGAAGAAGAGGCATCCTCGTTCCCCTGAAGAGCAGGGCTGTCATTTCGCACCACGCTCTCGACCGCATCCCCGGCAGGACGCATGCTCGTTTCCTCCAAGTGAGGGGCCTCGAGACTTGCCTCAAGGATCTCTCCAATATGTACTGTGCCCATTTCTCGAAGGACAAAGCCACAACCTCCCACATCAACGGCCGCCAGCCCCTTTCCCCCCGTATCTACGACTCTCATCTTACGAGGCATTAGACCACTGTCATCAGGGGAGATGTCGTCCTCATTAACTAATGAGTAGAGTTGGGAAGCAGGAGTAGCAGAAGGAATGGAGATAGGCTCTTGAGCTACGGTAGCTGAGGTCGAGGTCGTACGGAAGATGCAGTAGCCACAATAGGAGCCGAAGTCGAGGAGGAAACAACCGTCCTTTGGAAAGAAGGTACTGGTGCCCGCCTCCTCCGAGAATCCCTGCTTGAGAAAAAGACAGCATTAAGTCAGCAAAACAAATCTGTACATAATAGGAAACGGAGCGGCCACGATTACAAAAAGGAAATTACCAGTCGAGGGGGGGGGCATGCCCAAATTTTTCTTGAAAAAACTTGGCCAATCACGGATCCTTATGATGTGAGGGAGGATCCACTCGACAATCAGAAATATGAGCGTCCAAAGGAGGAGGCGAGGTCTTAGCTGCAAAAGAAGAAGACGAGAAGTCAGAATTCAGGACCGAATACGGGAAAGAAATCAGGCACTTACGAGTATAGTTCCAAGCCTCGGGAAAGCCGTCGACATTGGCCACAACGTCTTCGGTTCCCACTAAAAAGAAGTTGAACTAGAATTGACGATTAGCCTTGTCGTCCATCTTCACCGCCAAGCATTTTCCTCCTCGGTGGCGAATGCTTAGCATCGTCTCCCTGTAAAACCTAGGGGCGAATAGATGTATTAAGTGTCGTAGCGTCAACTCGACCTCGGCCAGTTTGGCAAACTTTGTGAGCATATTTATAATCTTATAAACATACAGTGCGAGCTGAGTAGGACAAACGCTGTAGTGGCGACAGAACTCTTCCACCAGTGGAAAGAGAGGGAAAGAATAACCGACTTGGAAGGGGTAGATGTAGAGGGCACAATACCCAGGACGGTAGACATGTACCCTCTCCCCTCCGGCCAGGATCAACTCGACATGATTGGGAAGACTGAATTTGGCCTTAAGCTCCGCTAATTCTTTTATCGTCATCACTGATCGAAAAACACCAGGCGCGGCCTCTGAAGATTTGGTTAAATCGGATCTAGTGTCAGGGTTGCGTGGAATTATTTCCCCCACCGACGGAAAAGTGTCATCCTCAACGATGGCAGAAATGCTCTCCCCATGGGAGGAAAACACCACCGCTAAGGTAGCAACACGACTCCCCTTACCAGCCTCAGAAGGTGTGTTGGACATGATTCAACGTAAAGAAGGAGAGTAACAAACGAGAGGGAATGAAGAACAATGTGTTACTAAAACAGAGAAGAGAAATTCGGAGAAGAAGAGAGCAAGAGAAAGGTATGGGATTTCGAAGTGTTAGAAGATTTAAACTCCAAATCGTGTCCAAAGACCTCTATTTATAAAGGTCATGACACCGAAATCGAAAGCGGCTCATCATGATTGGCACCAGAACCGAAGCGGCAGGTCTAACCAAAGGTCACATGCGAAACAAATCGACGCATAGGGAATATGCATCATAATGACGCATGACATCATGACGTCATCCTAACCCGTGGACAGCATAACTCCAACAAATCACCCGGGAAATTTGAAGCATTTGAAATGTGCGGCCCACAGAGGGCCACGTTGCCTTCTCGCCGCAACAACCACGACATGCGTAGTCCGCTTGATTAGCTCGACCACCAACAATGTGATCCGCTCATCGAACCTGTCCGCGAGGCCGGCCTCAATAAGCGGAGGGACTAACTGTATGGGTCAAAAATCTATCCTTAGAATACTTAAGTCAAAATAGTATTGGTAAAATGTTCCTAGGTTGTCGCATGTCGAAGTAATCTAATTGACAATAAAGGCCATGGTCGAAGAGTCATCAAAGATCGAAGTCGAGGAGTTGCCAAAGATCGAGGCCGAGGTCGAGTACCCTTGACATAGTTATAACGACTAGTTTCAAGACAGGACATTAAAAAAGAATATTCTAGTGGATATTCTCTGTATTTGTACTATTAGGATTTTTAGGAACATGTTCCCTATAAATAGAAAGAGGCACAATGATAGAAGACATGTAATATTCATTTGTAAAATATTTTTTGACTTTGAGAAGAGAATCGGATCTTATTGCAAGCATACAATAGCAACCTTTTCACTAAGATTCCTGTCCACATTTTTTCACCAGATCCAAAAATAACTCGGATATTCAAAGGCTTGTCCATCATTCATCATTGTCAGAAAGAACATATGTTAAATTCATCCTTTTTCGGGTGATTCATTCGTTCTATTTACATAAAGTCATTTATTGCTATTCCTCACTATTTAATGCTATACTACTACCTTTGACTTCTTAAATATTGTTTATGTGTCGTCGTTGCTATTTGCATATTATTTATTGCACCTCCGAGAATTTCATCTTTAGAATATTATTATTAACTAAGATTAACTTTTATTTGTATAAATTTAATTAATCGAACCAAGATCTATATTTTTTAGTCAAAGAGATAATACACTACATTCACTAGTAGATGTCATCAATGATGAACTTGAAAAAGGTTTATTGAAAACTATTACTATACAATTTCTAATGTAGATTGAAGCAAGTTACTAATTTTTTCATGTTACTGTACACGTTTAATTACTGTAACTTTTAAGAAACATGTAAAATAATTTGCTATTCTCGGAAAAAAAATTGGCGTCTGATTCTTGCTTTCTTTGCTTCCTAATAACATGTAATTAGCAAGAGATCCCACATCCCAAATCCCCAATTTCATCTTAATCCCTTTCGTAAGTTGCAAAGTGGTTAGCTTACAGCAAGAGGTATCTAGTGACTAATTCCCTACTCCATACTTAACTTCACTTGCAGTCAAACTCTTTACTATTTTCAAAAAAATTGTCATTTCCACTGTCTCTCCTCTCTTGCAATATTGAAATCCCGTTAAAACTTGGTCAACTTTGCATTCTTTCTTCCTTATTTCCTCTCATCTGGCGGCTATTCGAACGCGCATGTTTCCCAACTACTACAATAATCTGACGTACCAAAATTGACAGGTATGTTGTGCACTTGACATAATTAATAAAATTTTGTATTCCTCCCAAAAATTTTCAGATCAGATTAACGCGCTTAAGATTTTGATATCTGAAGTCATGTTGTTGAAGATAATCAAAAGACAAGTCAAAGCCATCATCACAAAACCCTTCAAAAATCCATATAAAACCCCTCCACAGCCTGAACCACCACAACCTTCATCTTCCTCACAATCTCTTGCCATGTCATCATCACAGCCTTTCCTCTTCCCAAGTACTCAATCCACTGTTCTCCCTGATCCTTCTTCCTTTTTTGCCCCTCATCTCCTCTCAAATCCATTACCCACAAATTCTTTTTTCCAAAATTTTGTCCTCAAGAATGGTGATCAGCCTGAATTCATACACCCTTATCTTGTAAAATCCTCACTTTCGTCCCTCACTCTTTGTTACCCATCTCAGTTCCACAATCCTGCTTTTATTTACCAAAATTTCATTGCTGATTTGACTATCACTGGTTTGAATAATTCCAATCCAAATACACCCCATGTAATTTCATCCTTTGATGATCTTAGTGTCACATTAGACCTTCCTTCTAGTAATCTCAGGTTCTTTCTTGTTAAAGGTTCCCCCTTTATTACATGTAACGTTCTTGGAAATGTAGCGCTTTCGATTTCAACAATTCATGCCATTCTTGAATGTAATTCGAATAGTAATCGTACCAAATATACTATTAAGCTCAACAATGGGCAAACTTGGGTTTTGTATGCTTCTTCTCCCATTGATTTGAGTCATGATTTGTCCACTATCAAGTCTGGTGTGTTTTCGGGTGTTATTCGGATTGCTTGTTTGCCAAATTCTGACCCAACGTGTGAAGCAGTACTTGATCGTTTTAGTTCTTGTTATCCTACAAGTGGTAATGCGGTTTTTAGTCAGCCATTTTGCTTGGAGTACAAGTGGGAAAAGAATGGATGGGGTGACTTGCTTATGTTGGCTCACCCTCTCCATCTCCAGCTGCTTTCTGCTGCCGATTGTGCTGTAACTGTGTTGGATGGATTTAAGTATAATAGTATTGATGGTGAGCTTGTTGGTGTTGTTGGAGACTCATGGATATTGAAGAGCGATCCAGTTTCTGTAACGTGGCATTCGNCATGGCATTCCATTAAAGGTGTTAAGGAAGAGGCTTGTTTAGAAATAATTGATGCTTTGAATAAGGATGTTGCTTCGTTGGATTCGAAGGGAATATCAACAACATCGTCTTACTTTTATGGTAAATTGATTGCGAGAGCAGCAAGGCTGGCATTGATAGCTGAAGAGGTTTGTTACCTTGATGTTATCCCGGTTATCCGCAAATTCTTGAAGGATACAGTTGAACCATGGTTGGAGGGGACTTTTGAAGCAAATGGTTTCTTTTATGAATCGAAATGGGGTGGAATTGTGACTAAACAAGGGGCGCTAGATTCGGGAGCTGACTTTGGTTTTGGGGTATATAATGATCACCATTTTCATATTGGCCATTTCCTTTATGCTATTGCAGTGCTAGCCAAGATAGACCCAATCTGGGGAAGAAAGTATAGGCCACAAGCTTATGCACTTATGGCGGATTTTATGAATTTAAGCAGGCGAACAAATTCGAAATATGCTCGCTTGAGGTGTTTTGACTTGTGGAAGCTGCATTCTTGGGCTGGGGGATTANGCGGTAACTGTTTTAGATGGATTTAAGTACAATAGTATTGATGGTGAGCTTATTGGTGTTGTTGGAGACTCATGGATATTGAAGAGCGATCCAGTTTCTGTAACATGGCATTCCATTAAAGGTGTTAAGGAAGAGGCTTGTTTAGAAATAATTGATGCTTTGAATAAGGATGTTGCTTCGTTGGATTCGAAGGGAATATCAACAACATCGTCTTACTTTTATGGTAAATTGATTGCGAGAGCAGCAAGGCTGGCATTGATAGCTGAAGAGGTTTGTTACCTTGATGTTATCCCGGTTATCCGCAAATTCTTGAAGGATACAGTTGAACCATGGTTGGAGGGGACTTTTGAAGCAAATGGTTTCTTTTATGAATCGAAATGGGGTGGAATTGTGACTAAACAAGGGGCGCTGGATTCGGGAGCTGACTTTGGATTTGGGGTATATAATGATCACCATTTTCATATTGGCCATTTCCTTTATGCTATTGCAGTGCTAGCCAAGATAGACCCAATCTGGGGGAGAAAGTATAGGCCACAAGCTTATGCACTTATGGCAGATTTTATGAATTTAAGCAGGCGAACAAATTCGAAGTATGCCCGCTTGAGGTGTTTTGACTTGTGGAAGCTGCATTCTTGGGCTGGGGGATTAACAGAATTTGCAGATGGACGGAACCAGGAGAGCACAAGTGAAGCAGTAAATGCATACTATTCAGCAGCTTTAATGGGTTTGGCCTATGGGGATACCAATCTTGTTGCCATTGGATCCACCCTTTCGGCTTTTGAGATTCATTCTGCACAGACTTGGTGGCATGTGAAAGAGGGAAGCACTTTGTATGGGGAAGAATTTACAAAGGATAACAGGGTGGTGGGTGTTTTATGGTCTAACAAAAGGGACAGCAGCCTTTGGTTTGCTCCAGCTGAATGGAGAGAGTGTAGACTTGGAATTCAGGTCTTACCAATATTGCCCATTACTGAAGTTCTGTTTTCAGACGTTCAGTTTGTGAAGCAGTTGGTCGAATGGACGCAGCCAGCTCTGGCAAGGGAAGGTGGGGTTGGAGAAGGGTGGAAAGGGTTTGTGTATACATTGGAAGCAATATATGATAAAGTGGGTGCTTTGGACAAAACTAGGAGCTTAACTGGCTTTGATGATGGAAACTCCCTTTCAAATCTACTGTGGTGGATTCATACTAGGGATGATAAAGTGGAGGAAAGTGATAATGGAAGCAAGTTCTGCTGGTTCCGACACTACTCTCATTAAGTTTTCTGGAGTGTTACATTTGGAATGTCCTTTTAAGGCTTTAATTGAGCATACTCAAAATATGACATGATCAGAACAAAAAAAAGGTTATTTTGTTTCGTAATTTGGTACCTGTCGTTTCTTTTGTTTGTATATAAATTGGATCACTTGTCTGCAGCTCAATGCTTTGCGATATGATTGCTGTAAGTTCTTCCCCGATCTTAGTTGTTTTAAATAAAAGCTCAATTTATATAAATGTCTAACCAAAGTTTCGGTTCCTTAGGATGAAAAACAAAAATGTTAAATACCATGTATAAATAATTTGCTGAATCGATCATTGGTGTACCCGCAATCTCCTAATTTAGTAGGTAAAGCCATGTATATTGTTACTGAGTTGATCTTTGTGTGTCTGAGGTTGGTTCCAGACATTTCCAATAGTAGATGTGAAGTTATGAAATCACATCTGGTGAAGGATATTAATGTTCACAGACATAAATACTTAATTTGGATTTCTGGTGAGTTATACATTAAAAAGGAAGTAAAATATCTGGTTGTTGTGAATGGAGACTTAATCTAATCAACCAAATCCCTTGTAGCGCTGAAAAAATAAAACACTTGTTTGCAAATCAAAACTTATTGATCATCCAGTGATCTGAAAATTCCAAGCCGAAAGCTTTCTGTGCAATGCTGCTTGAAAGTCTTTGTTCTTCGATCTCTGTTCTTGTTTTGGACATCTCTGTCTCGCAGTTGCCCAATTCTTTGACCCTTTTTCAGCTTTTCATCTAGCAGGTAGCCATTAGTCCAAATTTGTCTTGAAATCTGGGCACTGTTCGGTTTTGTCTCCTTTCTGTTCTCCTTTTTCTTTTTAAATCAAATTTGCTGCTTCTGGTGAAATTTTTTGAAGTGCAACAATTGCCACTTCCAATGTTCTTTACTTTTTAGGCAAGTAAGAGGGTAGAAAAGGAACATTATAACATCGTTTAAGATGAGGTTTTGGTGTCCCAAGACTTAAAAGGAAAAGAGTAGGCTGTGCTGAAGTCTTGCTTTTACTGGAATGTTTGAACTTTGAAGGAGTACTCTGCATCTGATCTTACTTGGTATTGGAGTTATAGGTCTCGGTTGTTTACTAAGTATTCAGAAAGTTTTCGAATTCTTTGCTGATTGTTCATTCATAATTGTTTCTGGAAGTGCAATAAGAGTTCAGTAAGATGGGAAAATGCCATAAAGGGGAAATGAAGTTAAGGTCAGCTGTAAAGAGGGATACAAAGATGTAACGGCGCTTGTTAAGTATATTCATGCACCAGATATTTGATATTTCAAGTGAAAAACTAGATCAATCATTCAGGTGCATATTCTACTAAGGTCACACCGTGTCATTGCTTTTTAATTAGCGTAACTGTTGAACGTGTACGAGTTTGAAATGTCTGATAGGAAAACTTCGAAACTTGTGATGTGTTGCATTTTGCGTGTCCTGTGTGTCTCACTGTTGGGAGTTGATATACCAATACTTCTGATGACAAAGGAGTAATTTCTGTTGAGTTTGTATCTGATAATGTAACTTCTTGCCTGTCTCTCCTTTCTCTGCTTAAGGCGTGTGAATTGACCAGTGTATTAGATGTTGGCTCTATAGAGTCGCAAGATGCTGTAACCTCTTTTCATATTCTGGGAGATCAACCTCAGATAGTTTCATGTACTTAATTGCGTGTACATTCTTCTCTATCAGAGTAAATGTGTATGGTTGATCTAATTGATTTTTGTTTTAGTGTGCCGTGTGACCCATAGGTCACGAGTTCGAAGGGTAGGCTGCCTACATCACACCCCTTGTGGTGCGGCCCTTCCCCGGACCCTGCGTGAATACGGAATGCTTTGTGCATCGGGCTGCCCTTTATTATATGTTTCTGATCATGTTGAAGCCATAAGAAAGGGTGTTATGTTGCAAAATGTTTCCGCAAAAATGTTTTATGTTGCTGCTTAAATCTCTAGTAGAAAAGACCTCTTCGATGTATATATGGGTATGTTTTTCTGAACAGAAGTTTCACTTGGTTGCTTGCCGAGCACAGTAAAATTTATTTGTTTTGCCTGGTGCAAGATTGAGGTTTTGAGAATGTGTCAATCTGGAAAGCCTTTTGTAAAGGCTACCAATCTGACCAGCTAGTTATGGATATGGCCTCAAAGGTGAAGAGTCATATTTGGAGCTTAGTTTGAAATTCTTCTTGAATCATACTCAGCACAGTATTTGTTGGGGCCAGAAACATATATTGCTTCTGAATATCGGATGTTTGGCTCTTTATCGGCCACACCATATAGCATATGCATGAAGGAGGAACCTTGGAACCATGATAAACAACAACCTGGATTCAAGAGCTAACTTCACATTAGGTGTAGGCATGTCATTAGAAGGTTGTGGTATTGCACCCCCCCAATACAGCAACCAACAGGAAAATAAATACATAATAAACTATATCTATAGGTGGGTCATCTTGTTAGTTTATCATGGCTCATGCCTATGTCAAATCATGATACAGTTTTTTCATGACCAGCATTAGGTGACTTCTTATGAATTGTTCCGTCAACAATTAGCTGATTCTCATCTGAACTTTCTGAAGGAATATGTGCTTTATTTGGTTGCTTCATATATCTTCTATCTATTCAGTTAGCGAAAAGAAGTGGTTCTAACCTGCGATGACAAGAGAAAGCAGATACCTTTTCTTTTTGCTTTTCCTTTCCTCCCCTCTGCCTTTTGGTGTGGGGTAAATTATTCTTCGCTGATGAACAAGCTACAGGCTTTTGGTGATTTCTTCCATCAGTATGTCTGACACCAAAGTATCTTATGTTGTTTGTCCAATAGATATGGTGTCTTGGTGTCCAATACGTGATGTGACACTTCAAACACGTTGACCTCAGCCTTCACGATGTGGCTAGTGGTGACGCTCTGATATTCTTGCTCTACTTCTACAAAAATCTTTCTTATGACACACCAAGAATCCGGAAAATATAATTCGCCGCATTTATTATTTACTCTTAAATTAAAGTTAGAATATGGAGTATATTTTTAAACAAGATGCACACCAGAAAGGGACAGTTTTGTCTGTTTTCGCCTGCAACTTTGAACTTACCGTTTCTTAAAGCACTTTCTTCAACTACACATTGCTATGCTCTTTGGTTTTCTTTCTTTCCCGTTGCCCTAGAATCTACATCTTAATCTTTCTGATCATGACGTGGTAACAAAATATGGCTTCTCCTTTTGAATTATTGTCCCATAATATGTAAATTGCGAGAATCATCATACATTAATCTATTTCAACGAGAGCTACGTAATGGGTTATTGTCATAGGCGTATATAACGTAGAAGTTATGAGTTCAATTTCGCTCATACCCTGTATTTTTGTCCAAAAAATCATTAAATATGTACAAAATTTAAAATTACGACTCTTAACCCATAAAATTTAAAACCTTGTCCCTCCTGTTATTGACTTCACCAACCAAAGGGGCAGCAAATATTCGTTAGTAACGTTCACCGTATTTTGTTTTATATTCTATCTCAGTTGAATGGGTCCTATTTAACTGATAGTTTATGCCAAGTACAGACTGCAGTCCTCATATAATAAGTCTTTGCAACGTTATTTTTTCCCTTCCGTCAAGTTCTGTAACGTTACACCATTATGCAGTACATTCAACTTTAATTAAAAGAAAGCAATTACCAGTATACTTTCCCTGTCTGTCTCTTAGATCTCTTATTTTTCCTCATTTCTTTTCCTTGTTAATCACAATGCCATTAATTTTGCAGGAAATCTTGGACTTTTAGCCACTTGTTAAGCACAAGATGATGCTAGCCAGCTGTTAATGACAACTACGAAAAAGGAAAGAAATGTAAACTATGAAACACGATTGTGTCACGTTCTGAATTAAATCCTTCTTCTGAGTCAACTTGGTACAACTATTTCTTTTAAAGTGGAATATCAGACAAGGAGAATCTTTTTACATTTTCTAACCAATCCTCATCCATCCTCTTTTAAAGTAAACTCAGTAGCCAAAAATTAAAGGGCCTTCCAAAATCTGTTCAACAATCATCTAAAATGGGAGCTGTAACCCAAAGTTCTCTGCACAGTGAGTATGCAATGTTGCTTATTTTACTGTTCTATTCATTTTCTGTTTTTGTTAATGGTTATAATGCTCAGTTAACCTCAAATTCAAACCATAGACCAAACCATCATTTTCTCTTCACAAAAGCAAAATCTAAAGTCTTGCCTAATCCATCTGATTACTTTTCTAGCCAACTTCTTTCCACCCCTTTGCCCACTAATTCATTTTTCCAAAATTTTGTGCTCAAGAATGGTGACACACCTGAATACATCCAACCTTATCTAATTCGCTCTGCTAACTCCTCTGTTTCTCTTTGTTACCCATCTCAGAACATAACCTCTGCTTTAATAGAACAGATTTTTCGCCCGGATTTGACTATATCCGGTTTCAAGAATCCTAACCCAACGCAGCACCACATAATCTCATCATATAGTGATCTTAGTGTTACTTTAGACTTACCATCAAGTAACCTTAGATTCTTTCTGGTCAGAGGTAGTCCTTATTTAACCTTTGCCGTTAGTGGAAACACTTCCATTTCAATCTCAACCGTTGATCCCATACGCAAACTCTCTTGTGATAGTTCTTTCACTAAGTACACAATTAGACTCCGCAATCGTCAAACATGGATCCTATATGCATCTTCTCCTATTCATTTGACTCACAATGTATCCTCCATTATTTCTGGTGGATTCTCGGGTGTAATACGGATTGCTCTCTTGACTATTTCTGATCGCCAATGTGAGAAAATTCTTGATCAGTACAGCTCGGCTTATCCCGTGTCTGGAAGTGCAACTTTGAGGTCTTTTGGTCTTAGTTACAAATGGGATGTGAACGGTAAAGGCAAGTTGCTTATGCTTGCTCACCCTCTACATCGTCGACTTCTTTCAACAGCAGATTCTTCAGTAACTGTTTTGGATGATTTCCAGTATAGAAGCATTGATGGTGAGCTTGTTGGCGTTGTTGGAGATTCGTGGGAGCTTGAAACAAATTCAATTCCAATATCATGGCATTCGGTTAAAGGTTTGAATAAAAAATCAGTCCCTGAAATTATTCGTGCACTTGGTAAAGATGTCAAGACTTTGAATGCATCAAACATATCTACTACATCGTCGTATTTTTATGGGAAATTGGTTGCTAGAGCAGCAAGATTGGCATTGATTGCAGAAGAGGTTT